AACTGGATGTACCTACATTCCCCAGTGGGTGATGATGTTCCCACTGTGGCTCGAACCCAGTATCCATAGTTTCAAACACCACAGCGTTAGCCACTGGACCACTTGGGCCACAAGAGCCACCTCTTGTGCAACGTCTCACATTAATGCAGCTACATCCAGTGACGAGTCCCAAATAGGACAGGCGAAATGCGCATCCTAGGTTCCACTGCTAGTCACCATTCACCAATTCACTTCGAATTACATGCCCAGACATCGTCGAAGCATCTGCACAAGAAGGCGACACGTCAACCTGAGAGCGAGCACTTCAGTCCAATCAATCGACGGGAAAATCTAAAATTCAATTAAATAATTAATATGACCCGTTGCACGAGAGGTGGCTCTCTTGACCTAAATGGTCTAGTGGATAACGCTTTGGTGCTTGAAACTATGGGCACTGGGTTCGAGCCTCGGTGAGAAATAATAATTTTAATTATACAGAATTGAATTTCCAGCGTTTTTTATACATAGTGCAACCATTTAGCCCCTTTTATAAATATTTGCATGCCTAAAATTTAAAGTAGTAATAATAATATTAATAATGAAACCACCATAGACAGAATGCTGGTAGAAACCTAATGAAGTATGAGTAGATAGTATTTTAGAGGCTGATGGTATTGACGTTCGCGGATTGTACGGAGTATACCCATAACTTCTATAGTATTCATTCCGCGTAGACCAAAGGTGAAACAAAACACCACAATTGATCGTCCAAATTACGAGATATATTTCGGAACCAAATTAGAGTGCGAGATGATTGCTTAGCTGGCTAGGGATCGTGCACGAAGGTGACACGACGGAGTACCAAATGGTGTGGATGCTTGACCAGAAGCCTTCAGCTAAACAAGTCGACTTAAACAGTGAGGGTCGGCATCCAATATCCAGTGATGAGTGCTGTGGTCAATAATTTTGGGGAATTATTTACCGCTACAGTATCATAGATAATATATGCAATAATAATAGTAATAATAATCTTTGCCTATACTTTCCAGTTCAGTTACTGATTTAAAAATTTTATAAATTCTTTTCTGACATCTGACTCTCTCTTTACACAAAACCCGTGCTAAATATGGTATAGTGTAATTTTTATATTTAGTAGATGTAAGAGCGTAAATTCTTACGAAGTTTCTTCTGGTTATGCCGGAAGGTATAAAAAACAAACGTTGAGAATAAAGAGGATGTACAGTATCACCTAAGATAACTTTCGCCGAGTGCTTGCAAGAATTAAAGTGCCTGTTGACAATGATGTCAGTTAGTTGAGACAAAGACACACCACTAACCCTACTCTCAATCTTCAGTGTTTTACGTAATATGACATAGTCCTTTTTGAGAAGTCCAGGGAAGAATAACAAGGGGGAACAATAAAGGGAATGGGTGAAACACATGAATTAATAAATTGTACGAGAAGAGGTTGAGTTATGCCAAAAGGTCTCAACTTCTTTATGTAATAAGTCAAGCAAAAAATTTCCTTAGAAATCAACAGGATATGAGACGACCAACAGAGATCCGAGGCGAAACTGATGCCGAGATGAGAGATATTCAATTTACTCCCTATCATGGTACTGTCCATATTACAGAAATCATGCGACTGAATCAGGTAGTCCACGTGGGTCTTGCTCTCATCTGAAGCTATAATCAACAATTTGACATTTAGATGGATTTAGTTTAAGACCACTTGGATGAGACCAATGGTTAACTTCAGACAAAAATCTATTCAAATAAGAACAATGCGAAGCAGAAACTACTGGGACAGAAATGGTTAGATTATCGGCATATTTAATAAAGTTAGCTTTGGAAGAATATGGAAAGTTCTGCAAAGGATGATATCTTTGAACAAAGAATATTGTTTATTCATGAACCAATATTGCAATAATAATTTAAAATTGGATTATGAAGGAAGGTCTAGTGTAATGACATATAATTTCTAAATAAATGTAGAATAGTTTTAAGACATACTATAACTAGGAATTCAACAAACTTAAATAAACATTAAGTCAAAACATGTTTTCTAAATAAACTAGGAAGTATTATTGAAATTAACTTTACGATCGGTCTCTATAGTGTGATTTGTCATAGATAATGTTGGACACAAATTTTAAGTGTCAATGGTAATGAGATGATTTGATTTGTTGTTGTAGTAAACAATTTGAAAATTTTCGTACATTTGGTTCTCTTGATAAATTTCGATAGAGAAAGAAAGACCGAATTTGAAGTATAAAATGATATCGCTCTATATCACAGGTTCTCATCAGCTGCAAACTATGTGAAATTACGACCGAAATTCGGAATTTTCTCTATAGCCTTAATCAACAAATATTTAGGTCTCTCATCTCTGTGTGTGTGTGTGGATGAGTGTCGTCAGACACACTTATTATTTTGTAACTCTTTGTTTAGAGATCAAACTCTGAATCCATGTCACTCCTGGTCATTAAGGTTACATACACGACCGTATTTGAGACTGATTAAATAATTGGCGTATCTGGTTTGATATATTTAATGTGTCTACTAAGCCTCAGAGATTAATTATTATCTTTGCATTTGTTTCTCAGTAGTGTCTTCTACAAATGTACGTTGAACCCATTCAAGCAAACGTCAAAAACTCCTTTGATTACTGAAGTGGACAGCATCTGTCATAATTTAAGTACTATCTCATCCATGTAGATTTGCTTAGACAGACTGTCTTATTTATCTGTCTTGTCTACGAGTTATTATACATATATCTAAGATTGCTACGTATATTTAGTGGATACTATTTTATACGGTTTTCATTGGATGATGGGCTATTGCGTTATCCGTCAACTTGTCAAAGATATACATATCAACTGGAATGTACATTTTGCCACGAACCAACACCACTTAGAGAATATTAAAAAATAAGGAAATATTTTGCAACCGTTTCGTTTTATTTAGGAACTTTTCAGCTATGCTCACCCGTGACTCCACCAGGGATCGAATGCAGAACCAGTAGGTTACCTGGTCGCTGGTCATTCAGCCACTTGGAACAGAATTCGATGACCAATGAATATTAACTTCTGTCAGTTCTTGATATAGCGCTGTCTTTAACGAATGCTTTCGACGAGCATCCATGGCTAGGACTTTACGGCACAGCTTCATGATTTCCATCTAGTAACCATCAACAAACTGGAGATTTCAGGATTTCATCATAAGCTGACATTAGTTAGAGAACCATTGGAACTAATGTCAGCTCATGATGAAATCCTGAAAGCAATCAAATCCCTACAAACCATCACTTGAAACTGGAGATTGATACTTAGGTTATGGATTTTGTAGGGATTTGGATCCTTGGTGAGGTGATGGGTGTGCCCCTCTAAAGAGTCCCAGACTAGGATGAAGTAGCCGTCTAGTGTTCCCCGGTCTTCATTGGTCCATACAAAATCCCAAAACTTGTATTGTATATATATATATATATTAGTGTAACAACAGAACATTTTTAAAAAAGCATGGAGGTGTTTTTGTCTTTGTTGTTACTATTAAGATGTATTCCACTGATTTAAAAGTGTATTTTTAAGCAAACTTACATAGACTTTGTATTGTAGGATCCCATGATTCCACTAACCACCTGATTAGCATATGTGTTGGTGACTTGCACATTGAAATAATGGCGGGGGGAGGCGGTTAGAGAGATAAACTGAGTTTGTAGGTTTTTGGGAGACCAAAAATTGTGTTAATTGGGAACTCTGTGTTTTTATAAACTGAACTTTTCTACATTAAATAGCTGATTAGTTTCTCTAAATGGGTGATTATTTCAGTCGGTTATTTGATTAGAAACACGTTTGCTACTTTTAAGCATTGTTAGGTTTACTGTAGACATTGCTAAATGTATTTATATCCACGTAACTTTCCTAAACGAAGTAACTGAGTTTTACTGACATTCAAGGCAGCACACATCTGACATCAAAGGTCGGCCTGAAAAATTTGGGCTACCGATATCACATGCTGAAAATTCCGTACTTGTACCAAAATATACGGTGTGGAATCAAACAATAATAAAATTGAAAAGAAAACTTCGATCATAGATAATACGCTTTAATATTAATAATATGAACGCCTTCTGTAAAACTAGTGGGATTATTTTCACTTCATACTACATAGTGACCGTAAACCAAAATAAACAAGATAAAGGGGTTCCAGTCAGATATTCTACTCTATGTTGACCTATAAATCAGTGGTAAAACCAGATTACAGTTCAATGATTACCTGTTTTCATTGATTGATTTTATCACAATTTACTCTCCATTGATCAAATAGACTGGTAGATGTCGTCAGGAAGTGAAATCGGTTAAAGAACCATTGAAAACGAAAAGGTACCGGATAACTGTTTAGTCTCAGGTTTGGAGTTTCTCAGCGCTACACGCCGCATGACCTCACCGAGGACCATACTCGTGATTTTCAAGTTATGAGGCGGGCATGTTACATAAAGTGTAATTTGGCAGGCATAACGCATGTTCCAGCCCTTCCCCCCCCAGATCATAATGATGTACAATTTCATCAACCTAGTAGTGTGATGAAATTTTTCTGAAAGATAGTTACCCGGGTTCTAGTGGGAATTCCTGACTAGTAGGGTACAGCTGGTTGGGTGTGATGACGAGAAATACTCACCCATGAAATCGGTTAGTAGTCACGCTATATCGTGAACTGGCAGAAGTTGGAATTCACGGGCCATCAAGTCGGGTCCCAGTAACAGGAAGGTCATGGGTTCGAACCCCGGTGGTCGTGTACTATTGAGGGGTCCCAAACTAGTCTGACGAAACAGCTGTCCAGTACTCCCTGCAGGTTTTCTAGTGATTCTCTTACCAATGTTACCTCACATGATGAAATCCTGTAACTAATCAAATCTCAGCAAACCATCATTTGAATAAAATACATGCATTGTTCATAGAAGAAAATTATAATTTACTCATTTAATTAATATACACTTTATTTTTTTTTTCAAATATATTTAGGTGCTAACTTGCTCATAGCTGTTGGCTTCTTTATTATGTTAATGGGATTCTTGGGCTGTTGTGGAGCTATTCGTGAAAGTCAGTGTATGCTATTCTTAGTAAGTTCATCTTCTTTCTTTTTATAATGATTATTAATAATTCAAATTAATATATATGTTCAGTAAAAAGCCTTTATGACTTTCAAGAATAAAATATTTTTTCAGCACGACTGCTTCCACTCTTAATATGATAAAAAGAATGTCATTATAATGATAAGAGGTGACTCTAAACTATAGTAGACGAAAACGAAACTACCAAATGAATGGACTGATGACTTGGAGCTAACGGTCAGATGAATCCATAGTATATAGGCGGAATTGTAGATGCCATACACGAACAACGCAGCAAATTTCATTCAAGTCGAGTATTTTAAGTGCTGCTGAAACAACAGCTCTATTGAAAGGGAGAAGATGTATAGCCAACTGTCTTCCCTGAGCTATATTCATAACGTGGGCAATAATACGGACGATTTCGTTATTCCCTTCAATAGAACCCACACAAATTCCATCGAAAGTTTCTAGAGTCATCTAAAAAGGAGGATCAGAGCGGTGAATGAATCAAGAAACAGGATTCATGTATAGAAATTAGCTTAACCTGATTGTGAGGACATCTATGAGAAGTTGGGAGGTTTTCTTGCAACATATGCAAGGAAGTTATCCCATGTAATTACCTTTTAACAATGCATTACTTTCATCTAAAGGTCTCTTTCAAATTACACATTTCTGCTTCCGACGCATCTGATTGGTTGATAGAGATTTGTCAGGGTCTTTATTAGGCTGTTTCGTTTTGGGATGCTATAGCTTGGAGTCACTGGTAAGAGTAGGTTGTTGATAGAATGATCTTCAAAGTCTTTCCTATACATACTTTTACATTCTTTAGACTTGACTAAATAATAAATGTGAATGCAGACTTAATCACCAACTATTTTCAGTTATAGAATCATTAGAAACTGTGGAGCACTCGCTACACAGTTGTTTCCCCCTAGTCTGAGAAGTCTTGACCCGTAGGATCTAGTATGCAGGATGTGAAGTATTTACTCACCGATTACATTTGTATATGATGGCGCTATATTATCAAATGACATAAGTTAGAATTTACCAGTCATTGGGTCCTAATCAGTGACTGAAAAGTCACGGGTTTATTCTCATAACTTTAAGGTTCTCAGTCCCATCCGTATTACATTCCTATGAGTATATTTCTGAAGATTCCCAAACTAAGAAGAAAAAGTTATCCAGTATTCATCAGTTTTCAGTGATCGGTGAAGTTAAACTTTAAGCATCACTAACCACCAATCGGCGAACGACCTTCAACGAACCAATTACATGAAAGAAGGATTTTTGATAAAGGAAAACGTATATTTATCGAAAAAAAGCATAAAAACTGCATAAAACTGTTACATGGGGTATCTTTCTCTAACATGTGACAAAAAACATCTCCCAGTTTATCATAGGAGTGTCAATAGAAAAGTCACACCACATTTTGTACATGTATTCATGCAAATGACTATAAATGAGATCCTTTTGAGATCTATTTATAGCCCTAATCCTATTTTTCAATCTTCCCCAAAATCCCTCTATAGAATTTGTGTGTCTCCGCAATAGTATCCACAAAATCACTGGAATGGTTCACTCTGTGATGAATATATCCAAGAGATGATAGCGAGTTATAACCTTTCCATTCATCAGTATGTACTGTGGATCCCTGTTTCACAATTCTAGTAATAATAGGTATTAAAGTAGTTGACTTTCTGTCTGGTGTTCTCTCCACGAATCCTTACCGTAGGGAGGTGTCATATAAACCGATCACCCAAACATTGTTGGCTTGCTCACAACGACGGTTGTATTTTTTCAGTAACACAGTTACCTCCACGTGCACGACAATGCCTTCTCCACCCAACAACTAAGTAATTCTCTCCATTTTCCATGATGCGATATCTCTACAATGCTGGTACCACTGAACTGTTGAGACGAGGCTATTTTCGGTTTCAGCCGCTGCGCCTCTCACAGGCTGTTTTAAAATTCAGTAGTTACAAATATACAAAATCTGGTTAGGTAGAGATGCGACCTAGCAAAAAATGTCCCCACGAAATATTAAAATTATCAATTTACCTTCTCTAATGCTAATCGTTTCAAACAAATTGTACAACGATGTACATATTCATTAATCGACCTGCTAAAGCTTTCTAAACTCATGAAACCATCACATGAACAATTCCTCTCCTTCCTAAGCAACCCGAAATCCAGGCAATACTGCAAGCGTGAGTTCGTTAGAGCACGGATTTGAAACGAATCAAGCGCTATACAACCTTGAACTCACTTGCGTGAACCTTATTGGACCATACGAGGTCGTTCGCTGATTGGTAGTTAGATATACTTAAAGTTTATCCTGGTCGCACAAGCTTATGAGCCACATATATTATTATGAAGGCTAGTGACGCTACCCAGTTGTACCGGATGAAGTAAGTACAGTAGGATTCAAATTCAGGAACCTATTGACTGAAAGTAGTGTTTAAGCCAATCAGACAACTGTCCACAGAGTTAACCGGTGATATGACTCACTAGTGTTTGCGAGCTAGTACTGACTGTCTATTCGACATTAGGTCAGATCATGAAATGACTTCAACCAGAAAACCACTGAAAGCCAGGAAGTACAGGACAGATGTTCCACCCTAGGACAAGACTCTTCACCAATACTTGCATATTACTGCATGGGGGATCAAACCCTAGGTGATAGGGCGAGCTCGTTGACCATTCGGCCACTGGGACAGAGTCTTGTGGCTCATAAAGCTTGACTGTACTATTGAAGGGTTCCAAAAGGAGGACGAAACAACTGTCCAGTACTCCCTGGTTTTCAGCGGTTCTCAAGGTTCATGGTCAAACTTGAAATCAATGAAATCCAAGCAAACCATCACTTGAAAATTGTTCCATATTAGTTATCAGATAGAAAATCTGAAGCACTGTAAGGCATTTTTAAACTTCAGTGTTTCACTGGAGTTTCACTTAGAAATTTAGCTAATAATTTCACTATCAGAAATTTTCATCATTGTTTTATTCTCATAGCTTAAATTCTCTGAATCTAGACATATAGAAAGGTAGTTTGTACTACGATTATAAACCTTTCAGTTACACTTAGCGCTAGTTACATTCAGTCAATCAGTAATCGGTTTTATTATCTTTTGTTAAATTATATACTCTTCTATAGTTAGTATCTTGTATTCAATCACTGCCTTTATGAAAGTGTTTATTTTTATTATCAATATAATACTTCAGATGAAGTATGCTAACTAAAAATACACTTAAAATGTTAATTAAAGTGCATTCACATAAACAATCTCAATAATGTATAAATAAAATAAGAGAGTAATTTAATTTCCGACGGTTGAAATGAATCGTTTCAGGTGCATACACACTGCTACTACTAATACTGAATGAGTGTAACTGTGAGTATTGTTTAAATCACAAGCATTACGACTGTTTTGATTACCTTCCAACTTAATCACGTCAGTTTTATTAGCATACTTAGTATCCTCTTCTTACTCTCTCCTTTCTCATCAATCAAAGCATAAATTTAGGCTATCGAACACTTCGAAATGTGTTTAATTTGAAAATGACGAGTTTTATTCTCTCCTTTACCATTTCCCTTGTGCGTAGCTGGTTCAATGTACCATACTCTTGGCCTGGGTTCGATCCCTTGCTGGCTCACTGCTAAACTTCTCTAGCCACTAGTAAGCTTGGAGAGGAGAGAAGATTGGGAGCGAGGCTAGCAACTTCACGTAGTAAAAATAAAAGGCCCACCTTTAAAGTTTAAAGCCTGAAGCGCCGTGTTCCACTCGGAATCTAAGGAAACTGGAGAGAAAATAATTTACTTAATTGGTTGAAGGATTTCATCATGAGCTGTTATCAGTTAACAACCATTGGAAAATCACCTGGGAGTACTGGGTAGCTGTTTCGTCAGCCTAGTTTAGGACTCTTCATCAGTACACACCCACGACCAATACCTTCTGGTTACGAGGTGAGCTTCAACCAATCAAACTACATCCCTACAAAACCAATACTTGAAAATTCATCTAATGCACACTAGCAACTGGCCTATTCAGGCAGTCAACCTGTAGTTCTAGTGAGAAGCCGTGACCTGTAGTATACAGCAGGTTGAAGGTGAGGCAGTAACTCATAGAGGAAGACATTGTGAAGTCGTCGCGCTATTTCATAAATTGGCAGGAGTTAGAATTTATCGGCTGGCCATAGGATAGGGCGGGTCCCAGTGGCTTAATGGTCTACGAGCTCTGTCACCTTGTAACCAGAAGATCGTGGGATCGAACTCTAGTGTTTGGTGCGTATCATTGAAGAGTCGCGAACTAGCTAGCTAGCAGCAATTCAGGTGGTGTGAGCTTGTTTGTCTCTTCGGCCTGTGTCAAACAAATCCAATACTTTGCAGATGAGCTTGACCTAAAGGAAATGAAATAACTGTTTAGCGTATAGATCACTTCGATGTAGCTACCAAGAACCAGTGTTTGCAGTGACTGATCTCCAACTACTCATATCACTTAGTCAGTAGTATGTACCATCATGCTATTTTACTTTGCTTTCTTCGTTACCATTTATAGTTTCAAACAGATCAAATAAAATATGATACAAAAGCTGACAACTGATGAAATTGTCAATCACCAGTTGAAATATAAATATGCAGCAAACAATGCAAATACTAACACAGGGTTTATATTTATGTGTACATTAATGTTATTGAAAGATAGATGTTTGTCCTTGTCTCTAGCTGATCAAATTTTGTCTTGTTCAAAGTCGTTTTTACAATGTATGACTTGTTAACTATAAGGTGTTTTCTTTCTCTATCATCTGTTTTTCACAGTTCTTCGCATTCGTCTTCTTCTGTTTTACTTTGCTTATGGCGGCTGGTTTATGGGCTGTTGCTTGGTCGTCTAAGGTGAGTTAGCAGTTTCACTTGATTGATTGATTGATTAATTCATTATAATTGTGCCGTCAAATTATTCATTGTCCAATTCAGACTTAAGACGACAACACTCAACACACATTATAATGTGGTTTTCATAACCATGGCGATAAAATAAATCTGTAAGTAAAACAGGACAAGAGTAAAGAATAGATACCACAGTCAAATGACCTTGAACCAATATGATAGAGAAGATTTGTAGCTCAGGTGGATGATTTTGATGTGGTTGTGTTCTCTGAGCTGGATAGTTGGTTTGCGAAGCTTTCATCACCCTACTGGGGGACATCTTCAGCGCATACTTCAGTTTGAAGTAAGACCTTGAACCATCCAATCCGATCGCTCAACATTACAAATTAACGCTTTTCATAATCTCCGTTGCAAGTGTCACCCTGATTCACGGTTAGGGTTAGGGTACAGTTATGGTTAAGTTTATGGTGAAACTTGCAGCAATGATTATAGGCAACATGCATTTGAAATGCTGAGAAATGTGACTATCATCGTTAAGTTATTATTCATCATAGAGTCAGTCATTCATTAGATCGGTGGTTCCTATAACTGGTTTGTTTACTATAACGACTTCTATGGAAAAATGAGACCTGTTTTGCAGCACATTACAGACGTATACCACATATAATTCATTTTTGTCATTCATATATCTGCTACTATGAATGTCACTTTTTCCATACGAGTACATGATTGGCTGACTCGGGTCATCTGACAGTGGTATCTATTCTTAACTGTTGCCTAGCATGATCTATGAGCTTGTCTTATAACCGGCAGGTCTTGAGTTCGATCTCTGGGGGTGGGCTGTGCTTCTGGAGAGTCCCAAACCGGGACAAAACGGATGTCCAGTACTCTCTACTGGTTTTCAGAAGTTCTGTAACTGATATCAATCCGTGATCAAACTTGGAATCATTGAATTTTTGTTAACAGTCTAACAACCAGGGTTACCTGTACACAATATGATAGAACGTTCGAGAAGAGAGGTAAATTGAGGTACAATTAGGCAAACTGGAAGATCAGTAGTAAGTTTAGCTGAGTGAGTTATGATAAAAAAGTTTGTGACTCACCAAAAACACACAAACATAGTAAAGATGTCTAGCTGCCAGAGTAATGCAAGATTAATCATATCATCTTTATGTATACACAGGCTAGATTGAAATCCTTCTATAGTAATGGCTTCTGCCGTGAGAAGTACCCAGGGTTTTCTTCACATATTGATTACGTTGAGCGTTAATTGATTTCGACTGAATGCCCCGTATCAATCAGGAGCTTGGCAATTGTACTTCCAAACACTTTCTTACTATTCATATGAAGACTGTCGGGGATATGCTTAGAAAATACTTTAGATGCTCTCCTTCCGGTCCTTCCTTTGTACTTGCTACCGCAAGTGCACGTGAATTGGTAAATACAGTTGGAGTTGACATGAGCAGGATAATTATCTACTTAGGACTGTATTAGTGAGTATTCAGGGATCAATGTAGTGGCGTGAAATATCCTTCACAATGTACTTTTGACTCCTTTTTCTACTCTTGTTGATTCTCCACACAATAAACTAATGCATTCAGCATAGACTGATTGATAAAACTGAGGATACTATGTCTTAAACATATTTATTTTGAATCTGAGACAAGTCCCGAGCCTTATAAAATCCCCATGTAACCATTACAGCAAAAGGTAATAAGCAGGACCTTTTTAAAATAATATCTTGAAAATCACCGCTGATTGTCGTAACCAAACAAGATGCTGGTACGCCCAAAAATGAAAGTGACTTTGATAGTCATTCTATAATAACATAACACATGAACGACAGATATTTGTACAGTCGTGAAGGAGGAAGTTATCTTATATATCAAAAATATAACCAATCTGATGTTGTTATCATATCTAGATCCTGGTCTCTGAGCTTATGACAGCTGACTGTGGTATAGCTGAAAGGATAGTGTTTGTAAAGTGACAAGGCCATTCATATAGTCACGTGAGTCTCTGGTAAGCTCACACTCACGTGCCTTGAACATCTAACTTATATAAATAAAAAAATAATAATTTTTCCTTCACGTTCCCGGTGGATCATAGGGCTTCAGGCTAGTGGCTTGAAGTTTCTGTAGCAGTGTTTATTTTTACAGGATGAGGTTGCTAGCCTCATGCCCAACCTTTCCTCTTTACCTGCCTTATTTCTGGCTTAGCGAGCGAGGTAAAGGAGTACGTCGGCCGGGGATCGATCCCCGAACCATGTCCATGATCGGCGACCGTCCTAACCGCTGTGCCACCGGCGCACAATCTATCTTATATACCACATGAATATAAGTGTAGCCGTGTGTGGTTGTAACTCTTCAGTTGACAGTATAAGACATGTCATATTTTTCAAAAGACACGGTTGAGTGAATTATTATTTGGATACATTTATTCTAATGCTAAGAACACAATACTGATCAAAGAAACTCTTTTCAACGAATTTATTATCAAGCTGTACAACCGTATATATATATATATATATATATATCAGAAATTATATCCGATGAGGGAAAGGAATCAAAGGTGTGAATACATGAAATAATAGTAGTGTGAAATGCAATTAGAATATTTGTGATTATAATCATAGTTAAATGTCAAGTAGCAAAACAATTAGTGTCATATATAGAATAATTCATAAGATGTATAGATATTGTTGGAAAGGGGTGGACAATTATAGGGTCAGTAGGCTAATATAAAACGTTACGCAACATGATGTGAAATTCGATAAGATAGGATTCAACATTGTGAAAAAATGTTTGGATTTAGAATGACAACTGGGACAAGTAGAAACGATTCAAAGTGAGAATAGTAGTAATAATTAACAATCGTAGTAATGATGAAAAGGTACATAGATTAACTAAATAAACTTAATAAATAAATAAATGTGTATCCCTACGGCCAAGGTAGAAGTAGGGATTGTACATACTTCTTTTGTACACAAATGTTTGACTTAAATTCATGGATAGTCAAGGCCACCGCTGTCTTTACAAGTGTATAACGAAGCAAACGCAGCAGTTTTGCATGGATTCGATAGATGATCTTAAAACCATGGTCAGGGTTGGTGGAGTGACAGGAGTCGATCAAGTGTTCTAGAATAGAGCTTCGCATACTCTTCCTTTTTCCCTTGTAAAACCATACTGGAACATGTTCTCATATCTGTGTGGAAAGCGTTCTGTAGCTACTGCCGATTTACCTTGCTCCAAAAAAGCAGGTGAACTGATAGATGCACATGGAGGTGGAGACACGGGGGGGCTTATCTTTAACACAGATGGAGAACAACTTACGACTGGTGAACGTCATTTGAAATTTTCAGCAAACAACGTTTTGCTGACTGATTTACAGAGACGATTTTTGAGCATGTCTGAAGCTTGATCACCTTACTATAAATTAACCGGTTCTAGTACCCGTTTTCCGCGAGCGTGGCCTTTAGGAAGGCAAATTTTGAGTCAACGCAATCAGAACTACAAATATTTCTTATCCTAAAGCAGAGAGAACGAATTAGGTTCCTTTTCCTGAAGATAGCCACTCAACCATAACAATCAGTTAGTTGTCCATTCCATGTAATTTTCCGGTGGATGGATCTTTTAAAAGATCCGTCATTACATGCGCTAAGGTACATATCAAGAAAGGGAATGCTTAGTTCAGAATCATTTTCAGAGATGAATGAAAACTGGGATGGCAGTTGTTGAATGCAAACAAGACATCATCAAAAATTACGTTATTATCGCAGATAACTAAAGTTTCGTCCACGTATCTTCTGTAACTGTTAAAGTGACCAGGTGGTTTGACTAAGTTGTGCGTCGGTGGCACAGCGGTTATGACGCTCGCCGATCATGCACATGCTCCAGAGTTCGGTCCCCTGCTGACGCACACCTGATATCTATGGTCGGCCTGCAAAATTTGGGCTACCGATATCACGTGCTGAAAATCCCATACCTGTGTGGATCAAGCTGTAATCAAAAATATAAAAGTTTTCAAGCCAGCAATGGACACAGTGGCGATCTCATCACAATGCCATCAATCTGTCCGAAAATCTCAGCATTGAAAGTGAACTGAACATTCAACGTGTATATCAATAAGAGTTCTTTGAGGTAGATTGTTGGCAATCTTATGTCTAAACTATGGGCATCAATATAAACACATATATAGCATATAGTTTCTATGAGAGGTACACTGGTAAATAGTGAAGTCACATTCTAATGTTGTATTTGAATAGTCTACCAATATGCCGTTTACTTTCAATCTTCTTATAGGTATACAATTTCCGATCATAGACCCAGCTGTAAATGAGGTAAGGAACACAAACAAAATGGGGTTGCGCAAATTTGTTTTCAGAAAAGAGTGGAAAATTATGCTTTTAGTTGACTAGGGTCTTCTTCGATTCAAACAAAAACAACTATGAGTGAACTCAAATTTGGACATAGAGATTATCATTTACTTAAATAACTTAGTATCATGGCTTGCAGTTCAGACAAATCATGCGGTATTGAGATAATGACAGGTGCAGTTTTAAACCAAAGAAAAATGTGACTCCACACCTTCCGCATGTCACATCTCACATGTTTAACTTTTTGATAAGCAAATGCAATTCTGTAATCAATAATAAGCCAGGTGTCTGATATCTGTGACAAAAGATAAGTCTGCTTTACACACCAATCAATATCATCAAAAATTGATTCACTGGCGTAAGATATCAGATATAGGCTCAAACAATGTAATAACCTATAGAAATCAAGGAAACAAAACTATGACACTAAATGAAGAATAAAAGTCTACTCTAAAACAGAAATGACAATAAGAGATGTCTTCAAGTTATTCAATAAAAAACACATTGGAATTAGCATGTCCATATTCTAGTTCAATTACTGTTTGGTATTTATGTAGTGATTATTGGTAGACTTACTCAGTTACACTCAAGATAACGATTGACACACAAACTCGCGTAAATCTAATCTTGACCGAGGAACATAAAGTCAATAGTTTCACTTCTACTCGTACAACTGTGTGAATTCATCTTAGTTGGAGGATTGCATCAATAGCTGACATCAGTTAGAGAATCATTGGAAAACTAACTGGGAGTATTGGATAGATACTTCTTCCTAGTTTGGGGCTCTTCATCTGTATGCACCCACCCCACTGTGGCTCGAACCTAGGACCTTCTGGTTACAAGGCGACCGAGCTCGTAGACCATTAAGAAGCCACTAGGACTCACCCTATCCTATAACCAGCTAATGAATTCTAACTTCTGCCAATTCGTGACATAGGGCGATAACTTCACAATGTCTTCTTCTATGAATTACTGCCTCACCTTCAACCTGCTGTATACTACCGGCCACGGCTTCTCACTAGAACTCCAAGTTGACTGCCCGAATAGGGCCAGTTGCTAGTGAACATTAGATGAATTTTCAAGTATTGATTTTGTGGGGACATAGTTCAGTACTACCAGGTGATGTCAGATCATGATGAAATCCTCCAACCAATCAAACTAAATCCCTACAAAAATAAATACTTGAAAATTCATCTCAGTGTCTGTTCATTTTGTAAAGGTTTTAATCAATGAGATATTGTTTCATTTCTGCGGTTAAAGATACATCGAGTTATTATATATATATATATATATATATACGTCCGTGTTTCAGTAGTGGGATGCTTGCCAGCCATGCACGTGGTCCGGCGTTTGATTCCCCGCCGACGTACTCCTAAAGCTTTCTTAGTCTGTAGTGACTCCGGAAAAGAGGGAAGGTTGGGCTTGAGGCTAGCAACCTCATTCCGTATTGACATAAGCGCTACTGAAACTGCAAATCTAACGCACAAAGCCTTACGATCCATATATGGGAATGGAAAGCGGCGAGCTGGTCATCAATACGAGGGTAACATGGAAGATGTCATGCGAAGTGGAGACGAAAACATGTGGGCAGACAGGAAGCCAGGTGAAAACATTGGCGGAGAACCGAACGCAATGGAGACGTGCGGCTGAAGCTAGATATTCCTCTAGGAACTAAAGGAAACAAAAATATATAAACTTTAATTTTTACTTACTTGATTCCACACTGTATTTTTGGTACAAGTATGGAATTTTCAACATGGATATCGGTAGCCCAAATTTTGCAGGCCGACCATAGATATCAGGTGTGAGTTGGCAGGGGATCGAACCTCGGACCATGTGCATGGTTGGCGAGAAACCTAACCACTGTGCCACCGACGCACATTCGTCGTTTAGCGTTCCGATTGGAACTCAGGGCTTCAAGCTTTAAGGTTTGCAGTTTCAGTATCAGTGTTTTTTATACGGGTTGGAGTCGTTAGCTTTACACCCCACCTTCTATCTTTCCTGGAATTACTATCGTCCACTGAACTAGGCCAGAACCAGCAGTGAAATGGCCGAGAATCGAACACTAGAACTGCCATCATGGTTGGCGGGCATTCAAACACTGAGTCCTTGATTCACTTTGAGTTATTATAATACAGTGTAATGTAATAACATAATTATTCAATAAAGTATCAGTGTTATGCTTGAATTCACATTTTTTTACAGGTGAATCACTACATTATCGTTACTTAGAGGAACAAGTAGTCAGATATCGTGAAAGTGAACCAGAAAATGAAAGTACCAAGTTAATGGACTTTATACAAAAGAAAGTAAGTCATGGTATAATAATAATAATCGATTTTTAGATTTCTTAGTTAGGCGACAGATTAAGTGTGTTCCATATCTAGTTTAAAAAATTTTAAAACACTCCAATTTTATGGCTTTTAGTGCATGATAGGGACATATTTTGCATAAATCAAAGAACCATCTACTACGATGCATAGTTTTGTAACCGAGTCGGACTAACTTTGAAAGAAAAACGACCGTTAGGGGCTAGACCAACGCATGATACGACTGCATCAATTGTTTTGCCATTATTCTTTACCATTCGTAAAACTTTTAAGTCCCATTTAAGAAATAATTGATCACAACGGGTATCATGTACATTTGTACCATATCTCTGACTGAATACTAAAATTTTATTGTAATACATTCCTGCTCTTCTTACGAGCCTTTTTATTTAGAGTTTTAATTTTTCTTACTACTATTATTAATCTCCTGGATTCTGTCTGAGTGGGACACAGGGCTTCAACAGCACACCTTCGTCTCATACGGTTTTCTGCAATCATTTTAGTTGGCTCTACGATTTCCCACAAGCTTTCACTTCCTCTTCATACGACTTCCTCCATGTCACCCTCGGACCTACGTTCAGCTGGTTATCGCCATACAGGTCTCACTCGTACACTGCCTGACTAACGATGTCACTTAACAGTCTTCACTGCGTGAGTCCGGTTCATTTCCATTTCTTTCTGCAAAAACTTGGTTGGCAATAAGTTTTGTTCGGTTCACTGGATGCCAGAGTAACTTGTCGCTTATCCTTTCTGTGCATCTAATCATCAGTGCGGATTGAAGCGGGCTATTGACGAAAGTTTACAGCCTATTAGAAATGTGCTTTTCATGCATGATGCGCAGTGCAATTCTCTGTAGCATATAGAAGAAATGACTTGACATTAATGTTGAAAATCCTTATCTTATACTCTTCGTGATGAGTGCAGCCGATTTTCATACTGATTTCAGGTTGAAGGTGTGTTTTACTTTCATGATTTTGACTGGCTTTGACATCCCCACCCGTGCGTCGCTTGTAAATGGTATGATGCTGCTTAGATAACTATATGAAGAGATCCCTTTCGAATTCCTACCACTGATTGTTATTTGTGCTTGTTTTTGTTTTTGGCGGTCGGGTATCTTCATCATCTCAGTCTTCTATATGTTTGCTTCAAGTTCCCTCTTGACTAACTCTTCATCTAACATGCTGGTTTTAGCCTATAGATCTCCCAGTTGGATATAAAATTATCCACGAAGTCCAGATATTTTAGAGTCTTCTTGTCGGTCTAACGTATTCCTGTCCTCTCGCAACCGACAGTCTGTTGCATGATCCAGTTCACGGTAATCAAGAATTTCATCGGCGGTAGTAGTGTGGCGAGAGCTGTCTGCAAGCCAAAATTGTAGACAACAATTTACGTCAATGTTCACGTGCCAAATCAGGTCATGAGAAAAAACAATAACAAAGCTTAACCTTGAGAAAATCACCAGTCAATCACAGCAGAGTTTAAGTGTGAAAATATGATCCACAGGTATATGACTTGATTTTTCTGAGAAACGACCACAATGAGATAACAGAATAACCTTGAGCAAGAAGACAACCAATCAGAAGACGTTGCTTCTCCACTAACAATAACGCTAATAATAATGCACATAAAAATCTATAAATATCTCTTGATTTTCTCAATAAACGATCTGTTGCCTGGCCCTTGTCTTCTGTCGTAACAGCAGACAACTTCGTTTTACTTTTCTTACAATAACTACTTCGTTTACTCTGATTCTCCCCCTGAAATGTCTGACTGGTAATGTAGACCAATATGTGATTGTGTCAGACCTTCAGCAGTATTTGTTTATCTGTTTGGTTGAAGTAAGCTAGGGAAATGAATTGAAAACTGCGAAGCACACAATTTATTTCCCACCATACTAAAAAAAATAAATAGTGTAAAAGAAACGGGTCTAGAAGATATTTTACGTGCGAATGAAAAACATATGGGGGCTGAATGTGGTGTCCGTTTTCTAGATTTACTATTGTCAAGAGTTAATAATAATGATAATTTGCTTCATTCCCAAACACTACTAATGGTACAGCATGGAATTTTCAGCATTTGCTACAATATTGCACCTAAATGTGTCGAATAACATCAAAAAACAGGTATAAAAATAATATTTCAGAAATGCTAATGCAGTGCTTATTCGGTATTTGTATTGGCTGTAAAATCATAAACATACAAAAAATTCTAAAATAATGTTAATAATTTTAGTAGCTAAGATTGTCAGTTAATTGAGATAGCTCACCATAGATTACAAATAGCTGGGGGGGGTGTGGCATCAAAGAGCCAATCATCTTGCTAACAAAATGGTAATTCATAAGTTTCACTCCTTACATTGTGTCTGTCGTAGAGAACGCGAGCTGGCCAAATATGGTATCTTTGAGTTCCTATACTTGGTATTACGAGCATATAATCTTTTGTACTGACTTCTGGTTTTACCAGATGAGATACAGAGGGAGAGTTGCGAATAGAGGCAGTGTTGAGGGTCAGACAATATAGATCTAGACCATTTCTTCCATGAGTTCAGATGCCACTTGCTCTACTGATGATCGTTAATATCCTTCTCAAAGACCAGGAAAGACTAAGGAGGAGCAGTAAAGTACAATAGGTGAGATGTAAAAGTTAACAAGTTGTAAAAGCAGATGTTGAGCGGTTCCGGACTGCCTTAACTCCTTGATTTATTACCTTAGATGAAAAATTTTCTTGGGGACCGACAAAATATGTGATGATCGACTAAGTAAGGTCAGAGGATAGAACCATAACAAGCTTCTGTTACAGTCCCCTGTATGCCAAAAACATCTTGTGAACGAATCAGCTCTTGTAGATCATGTTTATTTCTGAAGGTGTAGTTAGCAGTCTAACATTTAGAGGGATTTAAGGTAAAACCATCTAGCTTTGATCACTGACTGATGTCCGACAAAAACCTATTAAGTTTGCAATTGTCTGATTGGGACTTGAAAGGAAGCGAAACGGTAACATCGTCAGCGTATTCGATGAAATTGATTTCATTCGAAGGAGTATGTCATGTAAGAAGAAAGGAAAACGGAAGAGAAGAGAGAGCAGCACCTTCAGGAACACCAGCTTCAGTGAGCGAGGCAGAGGAAGATTCACCCTTATACATAGTATACTGCATTCTATTACAGTAATAAGAATACAACCAGTTAACAACCCGGAACTCAATTTGTGTAAGAAAAAACTTATTTACTAAAAGACTTCTAGGTATTGAGTCATAAGCAAATGTGTCGTCAAGGTAGGTACGACGTACATATTTGGCTCATTTATCTAAGGAGGAGACAATGTTACTATTTAATATATATAGTACTTTTTCCCTGCCTATAATTAAACTGTTTGAAATCATTAAAACCTTTTAATGAGGGTTTAAGGTTCAATAAGAGTAATTTCTCCATTAATTTCTATAAAGAAGAGGTAACTGAAATAGGTCTAAATATAACACTAATACAAGAACCTGAGTTGGGTACATGGATGACTACAGGACAAGTGACAGTTAATTTCAGTTCAGCGTTTCCTAGTCTTCTTAAAGACGACACCTGAAAATTGCAAACGACACATTAGTGAACAAAGAATATTCTTTTCGGTAAATGTCGATTGATTACAGTTCAAAAACACCTTTAAGTGATAATATTGCACCCTATATAACACTATACTGACCCAATACCAAATAAATTAGAAAAGTAGTACAGAATTTATGAATTCATAGGTTCCACAGCAGACCAGGGTAGCAACAGTAGCTGGACTTGTAACTTTTGTACTCAGATCACCGGTTGTTTTTAAGCGAATTACGATGGACTTTGCTGTTTGAAGTATTCAGTACCTAGAGGCTTTTGGTAACCGATAGACGATAGAAAGAGATTTTTTCGAGTAAGAACCACTGAAAACCAGCCCCAGTTTGTGACTCATCCACAGCACGAACCCACCATAGGGGATCGAACCCAGGGCCTTTCGGTTACAAGGCAAGCTTATAGACCATTCAGTTACTGGGATTCAACCCAATGTCCATCCCATGAACTCTAACTTCTACCAATTCGTTATTTTAGCACAACCACAAAGGAATGTCTATCTTCATTCCTGACTGTTCGATTCATCCAGTGACAAAACATGGGTTTTCTGTTAAATCTTTTATGAATTTGTGACTTTTTGAGAGATGCTCATCTGCTTTTTTTTTTAGTGTGAAACACATTTTTAACTATATCTATCTATCTAACATGCATTTTTCATACATTCAATCAAAAATTCATTTGATCATTGATTTCACTACTACCACTATTAGTAAGTAGTAATACCGAATTTCTGCCACTTTAAAAAAAGTCGAATCAGCATGTTAAGTAATTACTGGTGCATAAATCATGTGAAATTGTGAAACTGTAATTTCCTTCATGCATACACATGTGATAAGGAAAACACACTGATTTTTGTTATTTTGATAGCTACCATTTTTGTTTTACTAATGAAATATGGCGATGTCAATCAAATATTTTTTTTAAATGCAGTAAAAAGCAGCTAATTACTTCGAAAATTACAATTTTGTATATCTGATTGTGAGTTAATTAACTGTAGCTCAGCGTTAAGCAATTCAATGTGTTCATTGTGTAAAAGAAAAATCAATTTGTCTAGTTCTTAAGTTAATTTCTCCTGAAGTCAAATAAATCTTTAAATTATCTACTCCGTGATGTCGGTGTTACAGCGGTTAGGACGCTCACCGACCATACACATGCTCCAGAGTTCGATCCCCGGCTGACACACACCTGATATCAATGGTCAGCCTGCTAAATTTGGGCTACTGATATTACATGCTGAAAATTCCATTGCTGTACCAAAACACAGTATGAAATCAAGTTATAATAAAAATTAAAAATAAAATAAATAAATAAGTTAGTGTTGGCCTCAAGATAAATTTCGTCGGAATTTCGACATCATTTAAAAGATCATTAGAAGTCAAG